CTTAGCTCAGCTCAGCTTAGCTTAGCTTAGCTTATGCCTACCAGCTTAGCTTAGCTTAACTTACCCTGAGCTTAGCTTCGCTTAGCTTTAGCTTAGCTTAGCTTAGCTTAGCTTAGCTTAGCTTAGCTTAGCTTAGCTTAGCTTAGCTTAGCTTAGCTTAGCTTAGCTTAGCTTAGCTTAGCTTAGCTTTGCCTAGCCTAGCTTAGCTTAGCTTAGCTCAGCTCAGCTTAGCTTAGCTTAGCTTAGCTTTGCCTAGCCCAGCTTAGCTTAGCTTAACTTACCCTGAGCTTAGCTTCGCTTAGCTTTAGCTTAGCTTAGCTTAGCTTAGCTTAGCTTAGCTTAGCTTAGCTTAGCTTAGCTTAGCTTAGCTTAGCTTAGCTTAGCTTAGCTTAGCTTTAGCTTAGGTAGCTTAGGCTTAGCTTAGCTTAGCTTAGCTTTGCTAGCCTAGCCTAGCTTAGCTTTAGCTTCGCTAGCTTAGCTCAGCTTAGCTTAGCTTAGCCTAGCCTAGCCCACTTAGCTTAGCTTAACTACCCTGAGCTTAGCTTCCGTTTAGCTTTAGCTTAGCTTGCTTAGCTTTAGCTTAGCTTAGCTTAGCTTAGCTTAGCTTACCCCATCTTAACTTAGCTTAGCTTAGCTTAGCTTAGCTTAGCTTAGCTTAGCTTAGCTTAGCTTAGCTTAGCTTTGCCTAGCCTAGCCTAGCTTAGCTTAGCTTAGCTCAGCTCAGCTTAGCTTAGCTTAGCTTTGCCTAGCCCAGCTTAGCTTAGCTTAGCTTAGCTTCGCTTCGCTTCGCTTCGCTTAGCTTAGCTTAGCTTCGCTTCGCTTCGCTTAGCTTAGCTTAGCTTAGCTTAGCTTAGCTTAGCTTAGCTTACCCCATCTTAGCTTAGCTTAGCTTAGCTTAGCTGTTGCTTTCCTGAATGCTCCAACTCCTAGGTAGGGTCGCACTGGGATAATGTCTGTTTTTGCGCGGCGGCAGGCATCACTTCATCATGCTTCCCCTGGCGACATCCACTCCTGGCTTCAGGGCGCGGCCTGCAGGCTGGGTCTACGGCGGGTCAATTATCAACTGCGCAAGGGGGCCCCGGCTACTGGACCAGACGCAGCTGTCCCCGTAGATCTGTGGCGGCTGTTCTTGAGCTTCTATGTGGATCAGCATGGTAAGAGTTTCGGATCCATGCGGGATCGCGTGCGTCCGTCAGATGCATATCCAATGCTCCATCCAATGGGTGGGGGAACTGCCGCGCGGGAGAAGGCCAGGGATCCAACGTTTCCATTCTTGGCGAGCTGAAGGATCGCATGTGGGAGCGCTCTCATGCGCGCTGGGCCCCCCTGAAGGACTGCGAAACTTAGGCGCGCCGTGGCGCCCCCGAAGATCCGAGGGATGAGTGGAGTGACGGTGATGGAGACCGACCTGACGACGCCGGCCATGGTGGGGCTTCCTCCTCTACGAGTGGGAAGCGCCGCGTTCAGACGCCGCCCCCGCCTCCTCGGGCCCGTTCCGCGAGGACGAGCTCGGCGAAAGTGACCGTGGCCCGCCGCGCGTTCAGAAGCGCAGCGGAAGTTATGACCGTCCTGATCGTCATTTAGCAGTGCGTCGTTGTGCTTGGGAACCTACCAAGTGGGAATTGGAACAGAACATGCCGCTACGCGCACTCCGACAAAGAGGCCCCCTCACGATTGACAGGCGGCCTGAGGTTGACCTTCGCGCCGCGCCAGCGGTGCCTCCATGGATGCGAGCGCCCAATGCCTCCTCGGATGCCACCATTGAGGGGCGCAGCTTGAAGGTCGGTTCCGGGACTGACGCCAGCGCCGCCCGCGCCGGCGCGCATGCCTCTGGAGTCTGCCGAGGAAGAGTCCGCCCCGCCATGGCGTCGCAACTGCGGGCGAGGGTGGCAGCGTGAAGCGGCGTCTTCCCAGCCCCCTTGGCGCGCGGCCCCCGCAGACCTCTGGGCTTCCTGGGCACTATCCTAGAGCTGCGCTGGTCGGCAGACCCAGCGTGGCGAACGGGACTGGCGTCGCACCGATCGCGATGATCAGATGAGAAGTCAGTGGTGGAGGACAAGCCGTTCAGGGCAATAGATTGTCAGTCTGGCCCAGAGCGACGGGGCGTTGCCCCGGTCCGTTGGCGCGCCGAGGCCATCGACAGGCTGGCTGCCTTATGAGTTGATTGCTGGGCGGCTCGCGCCTTTGTGCAACGCTGTAGGGTGGGACTTGCCTAGCGGCCCTTGGCTAGTCCCATGGAGCGGTGACGGGGGCGCGCGCGCGCGCCTTGTATTTTTTCGGGGTTGGCACCGTGGGGGGCCCAAAGAGGCCCGTAGCGAAGGGGTGAAGTCTTTCCAGTGCTCTCGGGGCCTGCCGGCGGCTGTTTGGCACGTCCCGCCTCTTTTGCTCGGGATGTTAGACAATGCGCTGACGTCCGCCCTGGCGTGGTGATGTCGCGCCGGGAGGCCGTCGGGGGAGTCGTTCCTAACACTGCCCTCGCCTTTTTCAGCTGCCCTCCCTGCCCATTCTCCTTTAACGCAGCGCTGGCAGGGCTGAGGACTGACGCGGAGGGGCTGTCTCCGCAGCTGTTCGCTTACTCAGAGCAGAAGGCGCGCGCGCGGCCCAGCCGGCCGGCCAGCCCACGCTTCCGCGCGCGCGCTGATACATCGCTTTGTGTAAGCCCGCTCAACGGACTTCATTCGCCATGTGCCCATTCGTTCGCCGGAGTAGATCCGCCTCACTTGAACTACGCGACGAAGGAGAACAATTTTTAACATATATAACGATCTGCCTCATGTGTCGATCGATCGGCAAATCGCGGGTTCGAAAGATCCGCTTTGGTTCCTCCTTTGGGCCCCTCTTGGCGCAATCCTGAGGCCGTCTTGGCCAGCCTACGGGGGTCTTGGAGCCGTCTTGAGGCTCTCTGGGGCTTCATCCCTGCCGCGTCGCACCCGCGTCTCCCGCGCGCACGCGCACGCCTCCCCCTCCTTCTCCTTCTCACACAGCACAGCGCAACACAGCGCAGCGCAGCACAGTACAGCACAGCTCAGCACAGCACAGCACAGCACTGCACACAGCACATTGACACACAGCATCATACGGGGTGCGCATGGGGTGATCTCTCACCGCGGCCGCTATCCGTGACGGTCGTCCAGGGCGCAGCAGGTATGGCATATTCTCGACACCATAGGGGGTGCGCAGGGGGTGGTCTCTCACCGCGGCCGCTGTCCGTGACGGTTGTCCAGGGCACAGCAGGCATGGCATATTCTCGGCACCATATAGGGGTGCGGAGGGGGTGGTCTCTCACCGCGGCTGCTATCCGTGACGGTCGTCCATGGCGCAGCAAGCATGGCAAATTCTCGACACCATAGGGGGTGCGCAGGGGGTGGTCTCTCACCGTGGCCGCTATCCGTGACAGCCGTCCAGACGCCATCTCTCACCGCGGCCGCTCTCCGTGACGGTCGTCCATGGCACAGCAGGCATGGCATATTCTCGACACCGTAGGGGGTGCGCAGGGGGTGGTCTCTCACGGCGGCCGCTATCCGTGACGGGCGTCCATGGCACAGCAGGCATGGCAGGTTCTCGACGCCGTATGGGGTGCGCAGGGGGTGGTCTCTCACCGCGGCCGCTATCCGTGACGGTCGCTCATGGCACAGCAGGAATGGCAGATTCTCGACACCATAGGGGGTGCGCAGGGGGTGGTCTCTTTCCGCGGCCGCTATTCGTGACGGTCGTCCATGGCACAGCAGGCATGGCATATTCTCGACACCATAGGGGGTGCGCAGGGGGGGGGTCATTGCGGCCGCTATCCGTGTCGGTCGTCCATGGCGCAGCAGGCATGGCATATTTTCGACACCATGGGGATGCGCAGGGGGTGGTCTGTCACCGCGGCCGCTATCCGTGACGGGCGTCCATGGCACAGCAATCGTGGCATATTCTCGACACCATGGGGTGTGCGCAGGGGGTGGTCTCTCACCGTGGCCGCTATCCGTGACGGTCTTTCCAGGGCACAGCAGGCATGGCATATTCTCGACACCGTAGGGGGTGCGCAGGGGGTGATCCGTGACGGTCGTCCATGGTACAACAAGCCTGGGACATTCTCGACACCATAGAGGGTGCTCAGGGGGTGGTCTCTCACCAATGCCGGTATCCGTGACGGTTGTCCATGGCTCAGCAAGCATGGCATATTCTCGACACCATAAGGGGGTGCGCAAAGGGTGGTCTCTCACCGCGGGCGCTATCCGTGACGGTCGTCCATGGCGCAGCAGGCATGGCAGATTCTCGACACCATAGGTGGTGCGCAAGGGGTGGTCTCCCACCGCAGCCGCTATCCGTATATTCTCGACACCGTAGGGGGTGCGCAGGGGGTGGTTTCTCACCGCGGCCGCTATCCGCGATGGTCTTTCCAGGGTACAACTGCATCGGCGGGGCAACGGCCACCAACATCATTCTCACATGCCTCACTTCAGCTATCATCACTCCAGCCACCATACAAGTATGTGGGGGTCCCCGGTAGCGTAATTCCTCTGGGGCCGTCTTGGCGCAACCCTGAGGCCGTCTTGGCCAGTCTTGCGGTTCTTGTCACCGTCTTGAGGCTCTCAGGGGCTGTCTTGGAGCCTTTTTGGGGGTCTCTTCGGTTGTCTTGGGGCGATCTTGGGAACGTCTGCGTTTTGCGAAGGGAATGGAGCGATTTTACCTCTTGGGGCTCTTTTCGGAGGCGGAGATTTCTGGGATATTTTCGAGGCCTGTGGGGCCGTCTGGAGGCCATATTTGACATCTGGGAGCGATCTGTGTGCGACTCGGAGCCCTCTGGAATCTCTTTCGGGCGTTCCTGGAGCGATCCAGGAGCCGCCAGAACCGCGCCCGGGAGTTCCGCCATCTCTGACCTGGAGTCTGCCCAGAGTCCGTCGCAGTATTTTTCGTCCGGGGATCCCCAGGGGCCGCCCCGCGCGCGCGAAATAGGAATACTCTTAAGTTGTCACCGTAGATCTTAGCACGCCTCTGGCCCCTGGGCCCGGCGA